GAGAGAGAGAGAGAGAGAGAGAGAGAGAGAGAGAGAGAGAGAGAGAGAGAGAGAGAGAGAGTCTTTGTGTGTTTTGAGGGGGTAAGGAGGCAGTGGAGGAGGGTGGAGAGGGAAGACGTAACGAGTTTGGTAATTAATAGGAACGACTCAAGTGGGCATGAACACAGACAGGAGCAGAGAGTAAGTTGCTTGGGTTCATCCATGGTGGCACACTTGCATGTGGGTGGATGGATGTGGGATTGGTAAATCCCAAAGGCCTCCCGAGTGGGCAGTTTTAAGCCTGAGGCTCAAGGGCATGCTAAAATATCAGCTAAAGCAGGGAGCAAATTGCCATATTGAGCATGTGAATGCCAACTGGACGATAGCCTCAGCACAATAAGATCACCAGTAGGGCCTGCCCTTGGCCCCAACTGCGAGCTCCACAGAGTCAGTAGAAAAAAAAAGGCTCGAAGAGTGTGATTACTGCACTGCATGCTGTGCTTAGCACTTTTGACAATCACCTGGAAGCTCTGGGCCCTGGACCGCTCCTATATCCATGCCGCTCGTCAAACCTTCAGGTTCCATCATTAGATTGGGGTTGATATCACTTCCGAGCCTGTCTTTGTTTGTATGCCATGTTAAGAAAGAAAACGAGTCCGAACCTGAGGTGGGAGGTTTTGGTGGCGAGGTGCGAGCACCACAGGGCTTGTAAGTTGAATGACTTTGGCTTGGAGCTTCCTGCAGCCCCGGCACCAAAATTTGGACTCGTGAAATGCAGTGGCAGTTTGAGCACAGGCCTCTATCTCTGAGGGATCTGTGGACATTCTGGCTGCCTATTTGGAAGCAAGCAAGCAAGCATGCCCAATATATGACCTTTAGAATCATTCATCCTCTGGAGAAAAGGGGCTATGTAGAACCCTGGTTTCATCCCCCTGTTTACCCCATTGCCATCTCACTTTTACACTGCTGCCAAGTAATAGTTAACGCTGGTCTATCCAATGAGGTACTTCATGAGCTGAGAAATTTGTCATGTCAACCAGCAGATTATACATGGCCATGTTATGTGTTCGTTTTGACCCTCTCCTGTAAGTGTGCAAGTTTTTGCAATTGGTCCTTGCCACGCTGTTCGGAAATTGTTTGGGTCGATTGCTGGTGATATAGGCCGGGGAAGGGGGGTAATCTGCAGGCCACTAATGTGTGTGGTGGGTGCTCGTGTCTGGCACTGTGCAGCCAGCCATGATTCAATTTGCTGCCACCCAGGTGCGAACTTCGGGAGCTGCTCGTGTTTTGTGGGACCGAGTACCGACACACCATATACGTGTGAGTGCTGTTCCTTTGCTGCTACTGAGGTTACAAAGGGAGGACATCATTTGGCTTCCTGTAGATTTGCACTCGGGATCATCTGTCGGTAGGCCTTTTACCTCTGTGCACTCTGCTGTAGCCAGAGAAGCTGAAGCGAGGGCTGGACCTTCGGGTGCCAGAAGTGAAGTTGCGTCCACGAGCACTGGTGGTACTGGAGGGGTGGTGGGGGTGTTTGTGGGTCTGGCTGTCGCAGGTTTGGGCGGATATTACCTCTACGAGACATGGGGAAAGGGAGGTAAAAACAAATCCACACTGCCCGGTGAGCAAGGGCTTGGTCAGCCAGGCTTGTGGTCGACGACAGTTGCCCTCCCTCCACCACCTGGAAACAAACATCTGTCTTCTCCCTTGTTTCCGCCTCTTCCATCTTCAGGATCTTACTCACCCCCTGCTGTTCAGCGAGTCTCTGCACGGGACGAGCTTTTGGAGAGACAACAGGCCTTGAAGGTGGAACTGGAGGAATTGCGGAAGTTGAAGAGGGATAAGTTCATTGACCTCAAGAAAAAAGAGGTCAAGGCTGAACTGAAAATCCTGTCGAACTCCATTGCAGCTTTGGATAAGCAATAAGTGCACTGAGGGTGGTGAATCGGTCATGCATGACCAGGGATTGTGTTGATGTCAACTACTGCGAACCGGCAGGTGGTTGCCGATTAACCCAACTTGGTGGGCTAACAGTTTCGTTTGGTGCCAGCTTTTGATAACAGTGTGTCATTCTGTACTGTCAGAGATCCTGCGATTTGGTGGTGAGGGAACTCCCGTCACAATCCTCCTTGCACTCCAACGTTGAGAGTTGCTGATTAGCGGAGTGGTAGCAGTGAGTTTGATTGCTTTCTTTCTTGAAAGACGATAAATTTAATCTCCGCTTGCGGTATTGGGGGTGGGTTGGGAATTCTGTTTTTGAACTTTTTGTTGAACATTGACATCATGAATGAGGGTACAACTGCTGACGGCTGGAATATCTGCTCGGGACACAAGAGGAACGGGCGTCAGAGGAAAAAGGGTAGTTGGAGGCAGTCAGGGGTGGATAATGGTCCATGGCTCCATGATAATGAAGATTTGAAGGGTAACGAGTATCCAGCAATGGCAACTGCTGCTGCGAATAGTGTGCCCAGCACTGGGTATCAGAGGGAGCAGCGGCGGAGGAAAGCAGAGATAAATGCAACGAAGGGACTTCCTCCTGAAGTGTTCCGAACTGAGAAGAGCCACCCTACTTGGGGGAATGTTGTCAATGGAAAGGTCTCAGGTGATCTGGCAAATGGAAGGGAGGAAGTTGGCCGTAATGGAGTCGAGAGAGCTGTGTGGAGCATCCGAGAAACGCCAAAGGTAGGGGGAAGTGACTGTGTGCAGAGGCCTTTGTGGAAGGCAGGTGAGAACAACAGGCCAGGGCTGGGTGTGATGCACAGAGTAGTGAATGGTGTGAACTACTACTACCCCCGACGAGGTGTGGCTGGAGCAACTGATCAGAAAGAATCTCATTTTGGAGATAATTGTGTTGGGCTTTCGGGCTGTGACTCATCCGAGGCTGATAGAAGCAAAGGCAAAATTGGTGTCATGCCTCCTGCGCCATGGTCTTGGTCAACCCTGCCACGTCTGTGGCAGCAATCACCTCCACAGATAACTGGGACACGTGCACCCGAGCAGTTGTTGAAGGAGACGGCTGCTGGAGAATGGCCTAGACAACCATTTGATTACTATCTGGTTGTTGACTTTGAAGCTACGTGTGACGATGTTTCCACGCTGATACCTCAGGAAATCATAGAATTCCCATCGGTGCTTCTCAACTCGCGAACCTTGGAGATTGAGGCTTGCTTCAGGGTATATGTGCGGCCGACTGTGCATCCCACTTTGACAGAGTTCTGCACTAAACTGACAGGCATTCAGCAGGCAACGGTGGATGCAGGCTTGTCACTAGGAGAGGCGTTGGTGGCACATGACCAGTGGCTGCAGGACCGAGGGCTACTCGCTCCAAAAAAACAATTTCTGATCGTGACATGGACAGACTGGGACTGCCAGACCATGCTTGAGCTAGAATGTCGCTTGAAGAAATTGCGCAAGCCAGGGTATTTCAGTAATTGGGCGAATTTGAAGCTACCCTACAGACAGATTTACGGGCGACCTACTCAGGGCCTTCGTGCAGCAGTAGAAACGGCGGGATTAGTGTGGGAAGGGTCTGCTCATTCTGGACTGGATGACGCAAAGAACACGGCACGGCTCACGGCCGCCTTGATGAGAAAGGGAATAGTTCTGTCAGCAACGAATGGCTTGACATATTACCAGTACATAAAAGCCTTGCAGTTGGTGGAGACAAACAACCAGCGAAAATCTAGCCAGATGCGGCGACAGAAAGACGATGCCAGGCGAGAAGAACAATCAGAATTGAAGAATGGATCAAGTAAGAGCACAAGGACAGGAGGGGATGGTCGATGTAAAGATGAAATGCCGACCTCAGGCTCAGCTGGCAGCCCAGTGGATCCAATGAAGGCGGTTGCACCTCCTGCAGTTGTCCGCGATGATGTCGAAGGGGTAGCATACAGAGGTCGTATGTTGTCTCTCTCAAGTGCAGTGGCGAATGTTGTTAAAGGAAATGCGGAGGCTGAGGGTGAGGCCAGCAGAGTGGAAAGTGAGGCGGTAGCAGTAAGATTGAGCACCAGAAGATGGAGTTGGCTCTCGATCTTCTTTCTCCTTTCATGTTTGATGTTTGCTTGGGTCATCTGTTGCTGGTTCATTCGAGGCTTTGGAAGCTACTAGAAGGAAGAGCTCGTTGCTATCTCGTCAGGTGCCATCAAATTCAATATGCCTTGCTGTACAGTTGCTATCCTCTTTCTCTGATTCCTCCTATCCTTTGCAGGCCTGCGATTGCACAGATGAAGGAGAGTGGAAGTCAAAGAACTTGAAAGAAGTGATCTGTGTAGGTCCCATGGAAACATAAACGAATGGAGTTTGTTGTCAGGATTCATTCTTCTGTCACTTCACATGTACTCGAGACTTTTCGGCCCTTATGAGTTGTTTAAGGAGACTAGAAGATTGTCACTACTTTTCATGTTCTGGTCAGCTGATTAAGTTTCAATATGCCTGGGTGCACATCTTACATTTCTTTCTTCCCATAATTATACTGGGGGCATGTGATTGGCTGATGGTTGGGGTACAGGTGGGGGGAAAGTACACGAGCAATAAATTTGACAGGCTCTTGCCATCAAGAGAGAGAGAGAGAGAGAGAGAGGTGATGGATGGTTGTTTGAGTGTTTGCCATCCTATTTCTGTTGTTTTTTTGCGTGCTTTGAAAGTCGTTCTGTGTACAATTTCAGAGGAGAGAAAGGGATGGTGCACACGTCTGCCACTGCATTGTTGTTCGTGTCGAAGTCAGTGATGCTTGTATAGAAGTTGGTTGAAGTTGCCAACACAGTAATTGGTAAAGTGTGAACAATATGCACAGAATGACTGAGGCAGATAAGGCAGGAATGAAGCTGAAGGGCAAGAAGAAGGGTAGATATATAATATCGGGAAACATTTCACTAACGAAACCTGCATAGCAATCCGTACGGCACCTTGTACGTGTATGGGTGTATAAATCCGTACTTGTACAGAATCAGTTGTCCATTGGCCATAACGAGGTCCTCGATTAACCATGTTCAGAGCAGTGCAGCATGAATCCGTGCGAGCATGCCGAAGGACATAAGCGTGGGTTTCATCAACAGCTTTTGCCACAGCCACATTATTCCTCATGACCGCATTCTGAATAATGTGGCAAAAGTTGTTTATGAAGCCCATTTATGCCCTTTCTCATGCTCACACGGATTCATGCTGCAATGCCCTGAACCTGGTTATTCAAGGACCTCGTCGTGGCCATTGGACAACTGATTCAGCACCGGACACCCTTCTGTTTCAGATTCTCCAACATCTTCGCTTTGTTGTAGAAAACACTTTTCTGTACGCTCGAGATGGCATGCTTCGGAAGCAAATTATTGGTATTCCAATGGAACATGTGCTGGCCCAGAAATGTCTGATTTGACGTTGTGTTGGGATGAGGCACGCTTTGTTGATGACATTCGTGAGCCTTCGGCCCTCTGCCTGCTGTATTTTTACAATTAATGCCTTTTGCCCCATAGCCGCGTAGTTTTCAGGACACTCAGCAATATACCTTCAGCGATCGCCTCATTGATGATGTTCTTTCGTGGGGCCAATTACCTCCTCAACCAGAGCATTATGGGGCCGAGTGGAAGGAAACTTCAGCGGCAGGTGGCTCATGTACCTTTTTAGGTATGCGTCTATGGGTCCGTTCTGATGGCTCTCTTCACATGAGCGTCTTTGATAAAGCGGCTGCTTTTGACCTCCCTGCCGTTCGTTATCCAGGTGCGACCTCCAACATCCCTTCCCAACCGGCTGGGGTGTTCACTAGGCAATTGTGCAATAACTCGGCTCAAATCTGCACAAGCTGTGGGCTCTTGGTCGTCACTTTTGGTCAAAGGCCCGACACGGAGGTAAAAGTCACGCGCTCAGTCTAACGAAAGCCTGGGCAAAGGTCTAGAGCCAAGGGGTACGCAGGGGTGGGCCAAAACCAGTATTCAGAGGCCCTATGAAGAACAGTTGACTTTGAGAAAGTCAATGGTCAACCTAAGCACAGGAATCCAGGCCCAAAGGTGAAAGTCAACCCGCTGGTCAGCCACGGCTGTTGATCAGATGCACATCGTTGGTTGTCTGCAGGTATCCAGAAGAATCCGGTGCAGGTGGGACACGTGGGAAATCTGCAACTGTGCAGCATCCAGGCCATTGGCTTCTAATTGATCTGGGCCGTCGACCCCAGGGAGACCAGAGGCTGACTACAGCGAGTCAACACTATAAGTTGACCCAGCCCCTGCTTGGAGGGCATTCTGCCTTGTGCATTCTGCCTTGCACTGGCTTGTTGCCAGTGCGATGACACAAGGCTGCTGGAGCTTTATGCTGGCGCCAGATTCTGAGTGTGGGCGCCGGTCTTGAGGGAGATTATGCTGATGTGGCCGTAGCCACATTGATTTCGACATTGATAGAAGTGTGAGCGAGGAGGAGGATCTAGACTCTGAGATTGGTGCGTGTGATGAGGGGAAGGTTATCTGGACTTACCTGGGACGTTGTGTGTGCTTTGCTGCTCGTCTCAAAGAAGAAGATCTGCACCATCCTCCTTGATTGTTGCTGACGTGGGAGGAGGATGGGCGCCTGTTGTGAACTGTTCGTCGTATATGTCAGAGAATGTCAGAGGAGAACTGTATTGCCGACGTGGCGAGTGAGGGAGATGCCCGAGGAGGAAGTGGGCTTGAGGAGGGACTGCTGCTTCGTTGGTTCTGATGAAAACTATCCTCCTCCTCCTCTCAGCTTCTTCCCCTCTCCTTACTCTTGTCTTTGAGTTCGTTGGGAGACTACATGTACGCTGCGCATGGGTTCATAAACGATTTTTGGAGACATTAATGCTGCGTTGAGTCAAACTTGTATTTCGACATTCATGAGGTTTTCATCTGTCTGGTTCATTGCAATTCGGTATTAGAGGTATATCTTTCTTCCTCGCCATCTGCTGGTTGAGACATTGTGTGCGACTATGAAGATGATGATGATGACGAGGATCTGAAGTGTCGGGCGTGGAGGAGAAGAGCGGCATTGTCTATTCCCATCGCTGCTTGATAGCTCACCGGCTGGCTTGTGTATCCAGTGCCGGTTGGCGAGAGATAATTGCTGACGTGGCACTGGGGAAGAGACTGGGGAAGAGACTGAGGAAAGCAGAGGTGAGCAACGGGTGCCCACTCCCACACCCAGCTGCACCCACCCGACCCACGAGGCGATGGGTCAGGTCTGGGTGTACCTGAAGCCGGCCTGGGTGGGTTGCGGTTGGGTCTACCTAAGCCAGTGTGGGCGGGTGATGGGCGTGTGAGGCTTAGGCCTGGGTCACCCGACGGGTGGGTGTTGGGTCACCCAGGCATAGGCCTGGGTGGGTGTTGGGTGGGTCATGCCTTGGTCTCGGTCACTCCACCCACACAGACCCAGGGCACCCTCGCCCCGTGCCTCCCCAACATAAAGCCAGTCGGTCTACCACCTACAACAAAAAAAAGAAATTGGCCCTCTCCTAGAACTTCAGAGGGTTCGGTCAGATCTTCAGTTCCCGACAAAAAGAAAAACGACTGTGCCAGCTGAAACAAATGAGCGCACGCCCCCAAAAAACGGGACCTGAGGCCGAGCGCAGTTGACCGCAAAAGTGAAAAGATTTGCCGTGCAATCGGAAAAATTTGCTCGTAGGCGCAGTGGGCGCGGTGCGCAGGAGGTTCAAGATTTGGGCAGCGACAACGCACGCCGGTGTAGCAAGAGGGACAGTATGGACACCAGGGGAGGGGGCTTGGCAGGTAGAGGCTCTCTCTCTCTCTCTCTCTCTCTCTCTCTCTCTCTCTCTCTCTCTCTCTCTCTCTCTCTCTCTCTCTCTCTCTCTCTCTNTCTCTCTCTCTCTCTCTCTCTCTCTCTCTCTCTCTCTCTCTCTCTCTCTCTCTCTCTCTTTTCTGAAGTTTTCTCCATGCGCCTGTGGTTACGCCGTTACATGCCCGTAAAGTATGTCTCAATCCCTGTCTCAATCCGTCTTCAAATTGTGAAGCCCATCTGTCAATCCCCGTCTCGATTCGTCTTCATCGTGGATGAATTGCAGAAACTGGAGGAGGATTCCATCTGGAACCTGACCTTCATCTCTCTCTCAGTCTGGTTTTTCTCTCTCTCCCCCTCTCTCTTGTGATTTTACACTGTCTCACCTAGGCAGATGTGGGCGGTGATGTTTAATTAAGTCATGAGTGTGGGTGGGTCTGGGTGCGGTCACAAGTGCGGGCGGGTCTGGGTGGGGCTTTTTTTTTCGGGAGTTGGGCGGGTTGGGCAAAGGTGGGAAATTTTGAACAATATCTGGGCCGGCTGGGTCGAGTGAGCCAAAAAGAAAAATGGTTGGGCGAGAGTGGGTCGAATTAGAAAAAAACTGGGCGGGTCAAGCGTGGGTGAAGGAACAAAAAATGCTCACCTCTGGAGGAAATTGTGCCAACGTGGAAGGTGGAGGAGAGAAGGCACTTACCGACACTTACGGAATGACGATGTGTACAGCAGCAATGACATGGAGCTAGAAGACTCTTGCTGATGTGAACATCTTCGGTGCTGACGCTGGTAGAGGCTTGCTGATGTGGCAGGCTTGATAGCGGTTTCAAACTTCCGTCCTCCAGAGGGGTTTCTTGCTGACACGGCATGCTGCCTATTGAGGTGGCAGCACACATAGGTGCTGATGTGGCACCTTCCTGAAGAAGCAGCGAGGTACATATGTCGATGTGGCATTTTCCATAGAGCCGTGAGGTACCTCCAGTAACGTGGCACCTTCTTGAAGGGGCAGCGAGTAACACAGGTTGATGCGGCATCTTCCAATCGGCATTCCAGTGAGCAATTTGGTTCTGGGCAGTATTCCACTGCTAACGTGCTCTAAGTAATACTCCATCATCGCAGGTTGATGCGGCATCTTCCAGTCGGCATTCCAGTGAGCAGATACAGTTCTGAGCGGTATTCCGCTGCTAACGTGCTCTAAGTAATACTACATCATTGTCGTGACCTTCGTTGGCCCAATGATGCTGATGTGGCATGTGTCTTCCTGACGTGTCACAGAGACATTGCTGATGTAGAGCACGTAGTGTCACTGATGTGGCAAACTACAAAGAGGAAAGAGAGACTGGTGTGGACAATACCTTGCACCTGTGTGACCCAGCGGGCGGTACAACACTAGATTACGCTGCAGTGCCAAGCGCCAGGGCATGTGTCTGGTCACATAACTATCTGCAAAAAGACACCAAAGGAGAGCAGCTAACACTCGTTTGTTTTATGTATGCTGATTGACTTTGTGTACTTGTCGTGGGCTGTCTTGTTATCGACTCACCATTGTGTGTGTTGTTTTGATCTCGCTGGCCGTGGCTGCGGAACCTGCATGGTCTCTTAGAATAAAACATCATCAGTCAAAACCTTTTTTTTTTTTATATATATATATTTTAAACACACGCCCGCTGCAGTGCTAGTGGCGCTGATGAAGCAGACACCACTAGCACCCGGGGAGGGGCTCCATCTATTGGTGGGGAGCATCACCCGCTGGAAAACGGGTCCAGCATCCCATATACAGAGTGAATACCAAAAACTGAGAAAAGAAGCCTGCCAGCATTGATTGCTCTGCTCTGCAGAGGATTAACTGTGCAGGTTATTGAGAGGAAATTGAACACCTATTCCTCCTTCCCCCTTTTTCGCCCGATCTGTTTTTGGATGTTGTGACTGCCATGTATGAGAGGAGCACTGCCTATTGCTGACCCACTCACACCACTCCGTACCATTGCATATCCACCATGGTCAACTGATGGGGAGGGAAGGGATCGGAAAATTCTGAGGGCGGCCGCAACGGGATCCTCGGATCCACCGTTGTCCAATCTCTGAAGCAGATATGATAGTCTCTCTTGATTGTCGCATGGCTGCCTTCCTCAGTACCTTCGTTATCTTCGGGGCTGCCGCCCCCCTCCCATTTGATGAAGGCGATCCGGCCCCCGTTGTCGCTGCCCAACCAGTCCCCTGAAAATTGTGAATTTTTTTGTCTTATATCTTTTTGGTGTCTGAAGCCTATCCAGCTGATCTTTGACTTTCTGCCATTGTGCCCTGAGGTCCTGGTGTACATATTGTTTAATCATATCTGTCATTTCCTCCCCGGCTATGCGGACCCTTTCCATGACATGTATACAGTGGCCCACATAATGGCTCTCCTCCCTATCCTATACATGTTGTTTTCAAAGGTGCTGTCTGAGGGGGAAGTCCATGTCTCACATAGTATCGCCCTCCACTCCCATGTCCATGTAGAACTGGTGCCCAAAAGGCTCCAGATTGTGTCCCACCATCGCCATGTGAGGATCACTCCCGGGCATTGCATGAAAATGTGTTCAATTGTTTTTGGAATTCTTTGGGAAGGGAACGCCGAAGAGCATCACTCGCACCACGGGAGCGCCCGGCCTTTCTGTTCCAGGTATGTATGATCAATCAGCCAATCATTGGTGGGGAGGCAGCAGTGTTCTATCTGCCACTGCAGTGAGGCCATTTTTGCAGGCCTGGACCGCGTGAGGGTGAACCACCGAATGGGGCGGATGACTTCCATTACCACGTTCCAGTACGACCTCCAGCGGTTCCTCACGATGTCCCTCAGATTCACTTTAGGCCGTAGTAGTCTGTACGTGGACTTCACTGATAGTGTGGGGAGCATTACATTCTTCGTCACCCGGGTTCGGCGTGCGGGGGGCCATTGCCACTCCTCAGGGTCAAGGGGAAGATCCACCAGGCGGGTCTCCGGCCAGTATGCTATCCAATCCTCCTTTACTTGTAATCAAAACCTAGCAAATGACAGATTTAGAATTTTTGATAAATTCCGATCCTGTATTTTTTTAATTTTTTTCCTGGGTGGGGATCCGGGCCGCCCGCCTGATGGGCAGGGGCCCGGGGGAGGTCCCGGGGGGCCTGGCCGGGCAGGGCACCCGGTTGGGGTTCGGGACCCCCCAGCGCAATCACCTGTCTGGGGGTCTCAGACCCCCTTTTCGCTGCTGTTGGCATCCCATAGGCCTACCGGGTTTGACCGGCCCGAAAAACTGTCCCGTCGGGCCCGGTAGGCCTGCGGGATTTTCAAAAATTTGTGATGGCTTTGTGGTTGTCGATCCACCATGATCGATGGCCACAGAGCCGGTGGATCTAGGTGCCAAACATCCCGTCGTTCAAACCAGGGATCGGCTAGGGTGGTCTGCCACTCGCCCCCCAGCACGATCGAAGTTCCTCCTGTGCTGTCCTGCTGCTACTGCTACGACAAGGCCCCGACTGTCCTGCTGCTGCTGCTACGACGAAGGCCCCGACTGTCCTGCTGCTGCTGCTGCAACGAAGGCGTCGTTCTTCTTCTTCTTCTTCTTCTTCTTCTTCTTCTTCTTCTTCTTCTTCCTGTCGTGATCGTTTAGGGTTGTGTTGGACGGGCAAACGAAGGCCCTACTGCTAAGGTAACTGTTGCAGGTAACGACTTCTTCTTCTTCGTCTTCTTCTTGATCATTCAGTAGGTCACGTGAGACACGACAAGCCATCCACCTACCCACCCCCCCCCTTCTCGGCTCTTCTTCTTCTTCTTCTTCTTCTCTCCTCCTTCTCCTCCTCTTGTCTTCTTCGTCTTCCCTTCGTCTTCCCTTTGTCCCCCACTCGTTTTCTTTCTCCTCCTCTTCTTCTTCTTCTTTTCCTTCTTCTCCTTTTTCTTCTCCTTCTCCTTCTTGTTTTTCATCTTCTAGTTTGTCAACATTCAGTAGGTCACGCGAGACATGACGGGTGAAAAAAAAAAAGAAAAAAAGGTCGTCCTTCTCCCCCTCCTTCTCCGCTTATCTTTTTCTTCTCCTCCTCCTTCTCTTCTCGTCGTCCTCTCGTCTTCTTCTTACCCTCCTCCCCCTCGCGTTTTCATCTTTCTCTTCGACCTTTCTTGATCTTCTTCTTCTTCCCCTCCTCACCTCTCTTCTTCTTCTTCTTCTTCTTCTTCTTCTTCTTCTTTTTCTTTTTCTTCTTTTTCTTTTTCTTTTTCTTTTTCTTTTTCTTCTTCTTCTTCTTCTTCTTCTTCTTCTTCTTCTTCTTCTTCTTCTTCTTCTTCTTCTTCTTCTTCTTCTGCTCCATTCGGTAGGTCTTCTTCTCTCCTCTTCTTCTTCTTCCTATCCTTCCATACTCCCTCCCTGC